CACACACACACACACACACACACACACACACACACACACACACACACACACACACAGACAGCTTCCCTGAAAACTGGCATCTCAGCGACTTGCTAATGGCGTCAACTCCTCCAGGTGTGAATTTAAGAAATCCCTGATTGTGCCCGTTATTTGCCGCGGGGAACGTTTCCTGTGATGAGTCTAATCCCTTGTCTCCAGAAACAAAAGGTGTAACAGTCGGCTGAGGATCAGCCGGTGTGAGTGATGGTGTACATAAACCCTGTCTGTCTCTCTCTAGATCCCACACAGCCTCCTAATCCTGGAAGATCAAGTGGAACCAGGCTGGTTGAGTAACTGGGCGGAAGTCAGCGTGATGCTTTTAGAGGGGTGGGGGGGTGTTGACTCACACTGTGATCGCTCCTGGCTCACAACAACCACAGCGTGTCACGCCTGTCTAACCTTTTGTTGCTGCTGCCGCAAATTTGTATTCATATTTGAATTTGTCTGCCAAATACGTCCCTTCCCACGTGAACAATTTGCATCTTGACTTGTTYCCCCCCCCCCTGCCTTTCAGTGATAGACATTGGATATGAGAGCTGGGGAAAATAAAATACTAAACATCAGTCATCAGGAGCTTTGTGCCCATATGTGCTTCATACATGCAGGGATCAGAACTGTTCATTTTTCACTGTTCAGCCGACCTCGGTCAGAGCTGAGTAGGCAGTAACATGAACCGAGTGCAGCCAGGGAGCATAAACATGAGCCTATTTATAAGTCAGGCGGTGTGAGTATTTCTTTTTATCTCTCTCTCTCTCTCTCTCTCTCTCCATCCCTCTCTCTCTGCTTTCGAATCTGAAGGTTTCATGTCAATGTCATGAGCTCTTACTGAACAAATACAGCTGATTGCATTCTTCTCACTCCGCTGCGAGCGAATGAATGGATCAAAATTTGCCTGAATTTATGTCTCACTGATTTTTTTTTACAGACTGAGAACATATTTTAGCCTTTAATGTGCCTGCAGTTGCTAGTTATTTTGCTTAAAAAAAGACACAACAGCCTTTAAATTTTATGATTGGTTTTCCAAACTGTTTTTCAGTGCAGAGGACCGGCTGTAAATAATAATATTAAATAAAACATTATTGTGGCAAAAGATGGACAAACATTTCTGCAGTTCAATTGATAGGAGTYGAATAATATTAGACTCTGCTGTCATTAATCTGTTGAAATCTGTACCACACAGCGATCAGGACCTAATGTACTCGACCTTTTGAAATGCCCTTCAGGCTTTTGCTTACCTCTGCTAAATAGTCACGTCTATATTGCATCTGCTTTGTGGTGTGTTGGGTAGTTTCAGCTGAGAGATATGACCTGTCAGTTTATCCAGTCTTGATTATGCTACTGATCCAAACAAGATCTTCCCACATGTTTGTCCAACTTTACGCACCTTGGAATCTCCAGGCTATAGGACAGTAATGACATCATAGGGGTGGGGCAGCCTTATTGTGGCCGGCAGGTTTGATTCCCCACCATACACACATGTCCCTGTGTCCTTGAGCAAGACATCTAATCCCAAACTACTCCCTTGGCACTTAAATAGCTGTCCTCTGCTGTAGTTGTGTGTATCTCACATGTGTTAAGGGTCWAATGCAGAGAAGAAGTATCATTGTACAGGCACAAATGTGTTCATAGCTTCTTCTTTCTTCTGATGTCAGGACCTGCAGTGTCGGAGGTGATTTCAGCGCACATTTTTTCTAATAGGACAGAACCCACATAACAGACAAGTGTGGGCCAGATCTTGTGTCAAGCACTGCTGACGGACTGCTGGGATGGGTTTGTCAGTTGGATGTAGGCCAGGTCTGGCAACGATGGCACTGTTTTTAACATGGCATGCCACAACTGGCCCGGTTGTGGTTTGGTTTACTTGGTGCTGACTCATGTATGAACCACCTCTGGCAAACCATATCTGGGCCACCAAGGGGACGTCATTCTTTACAGTATCTGGACTGAGTGTTAGTGTATGGTGTGGGTCAGAACTGGGCCAGACAAATTTTTCTGTTAGAAGCGACCAGTGATGCCTTCCAGGAGCTGGTTCTCACTGAGTCCTGTATGTAATCGGAGCAAGTATTTCTACAAAGTGTATGTACTATAGCAAGTCATAAAGTCTTCATTAGTGGTGTTATAATACCAGTGTTTTTACAAGTACTCATTCTCTTATAAATTGCCCTGACACCCAGAACCAATACCGGTATTGAAACTCCATTCATTGTGTTACAGTTTACATTTCAAGTGAGAAGTTTGTCGTTTCCATGTTTAAGTACATTTTACAAGTTAAAAGAATATGTTAAAATGATCCGGAGGGGCTGGAGGCCTATAAGGAAAAACAGATACTTTATTCTAAATAAAAATAGTGCTTTTCAAGTCGTTGTGTAATTCCAACTCAGTACGTAATCTGTATCGGCAAATACCCAAACTGAAGTACTTGTACTTGTGCTAAACTGGTATTGGGACACCCCTAGTCTACAACACAAATTTGCCATATTTTCTTTCACGGGACCCAACTTTGACCAGGATATAAGAAACTTTTAAATATTTTTTATATGTAATTCAGAGTTGCTCAGTTTTTAAAAACACACATTGTAACACAGTTCTACATCAGCAGGGACAGCATTGGCTCATGGGAACTATTGATCAGAACCATTTTACTACTGGAAGTCTGGCTGCTTGAGAGCAGAACATAAAAACTTGAGGGATGACTCACAACTTTAGCACAGTATTGTGTAGAAATGTTCCTGTTCACAGGATGTTTAATATGCATCATTGTTGTATTATGCTGTGCACCTTCCACCCTACCTGTGAGCCATGAAAAAGCGACGGGACTTGGGTTCGAACCAGATCTCCCGGGTTTGACTATCAAAAGCAAAAAGACATAAGTTGATGTTAAAACATGCGAGTTGGGCAAATTCTCCCCTTTTATTCAATTTCACAGAGATTAGTTTTGATCCCGTTCGCTGTGTTATGTTTCAGACTATTCACCGGTTTCAGCTTTGAAGTGTTTAGGGGGAGATTTTTAGAGAGAGAGAGGTAGGTACGGGAGGTAGGGCTAAGAGGGCCTTGCTAAGCCTGTGACAAAAACACACTGAGATGCTCTCCGTGTCTCTTGATCCACAGGGACGGGGAAAGTAGGCCAGGCTCAGTGTCAGACTGCTGTGAGGATCATGACGCCGAAGTTGTTGACTCGTGATCAAAGTTGTTTTCCCCACTTTGGTTGTCGAGACTCTCGCAGAGATGGAGGTTTAAAATACTTCTCAGAAACGCACCAAATGTAGGTCATATTTCCCTTCATAAGTGATGCTTTCCAGCTGTGTCATCCTGAAGCAAATCTTTGAACAAATCAGATTGTCTTCTGATGGAAAGTGAACTTTTCACCCTGCTGACAACATCAAAGGAACAGGAAAGGAAATAAAGAAAAGATGTGAAAGGTCCGATAATCATCCAACGCTGATTTGTGTGGATCAGACACAAACAGGAGAGTTATGGCTCATGTCACCAGGGACAACATTCATGGGCTAAACGTTGGCACCGTCTGCTAGCATTTCATTTCTTTCTCTTTTCCCCCCACCTCATCTAATTTTACAAATATTAACCCATAAACACAAAGCTCTGACAAAGCTTGACAAAATTACGTACCACTCATGAGTGGAAAAAATTTTTTTCAATTAACTGCTTAACCAAATGTGAGTCATCCCTCTCATTCCATAAACCTGCAATTTACAGAGTAACTAACAAATATGATATACAGCTCAGATGCATGCTGCTTTCTTTCCATTACAGGTCTGAATTAGGGATGTCCAATAATATCAGCGTACAGATATTATCGGTCCGATATTGGCATAAAAATGTAAGATCTACATATCGGTATCGGTTTTTCTCCTGACAACAAAAGCCCAATAAATTAATGCCTGAATTTGACCAAAATGTGTTAATAAAAGCTTGTGGTCCAGAGACATTCACTGGTGCACACTTGATGACATCCACAAACTGGATTATCTCAGGGAGAGCATGATTCAAACTACTGTTTGAGACAAAATGTTAACAATAAATATGGCACTTTTTCCATAACTTCAGTGAAATGGTTTTTATTTTGTGCAGACAACGTTTATGGAATGCATCTAGTAAGGTATCAAAGTAAAAGCAGGCAGAATGTCCCTGTCAGGAGATATTTGATGTCAGCTTAATATCGGTTTGTAATATCGGTTAATATCGGAAACTGAAATCAAGTATTTATCAATATCGGCAAAAAGTCAATATCGAGCATCTCTAGTCTGAATCAGTCAGTTATTTATAGCCAAAAATCCCTTCACTCTCCCTTCATGTTGTTTACAGAAGAGTGCACGACTCATTCTTTCTAAACCAAACTCTTTCATTACAGACGGTCTAATGAGCACCCACGGAAGCTCGGTTGCTGACAGACCCTCTACTTGTCCCTGAGAAAGACAGAAGCACCACAAACAGCCAGGAGAAACTCTGTTCAGTCACGTGTTGTTTGTCTCCTTCCTTCCCATCCTCCTCTATCTCTTTCTCCTCCTCCTCCAGCGTCTGAGTTGTAATCAGACGGCGAATCACGGGATCCCGCGCGCAGCCCGGCCCGTGCGGTCCGGCGGTGGCTGGGATTGGGTGGGGGGTGTGGTGGCTGAGGACGGAGTCACGGGATTGGTAGAGTTCAGCGCCGAACTTGTTGGCACAGAAGCTGGAGCTGCTCCTCCAAACGTCCGTCTCGACGCGGAGCTGTCCGGGAAGCGGCGGTGCTGAAGCTGCTGCTGCCTTTCCTCCCCTCTCTCCCCAGATTATAATCTCTGATTATCTACAGGTTTTTGTTTTAAAGTCGAGACGTTTGATTCAAACGTTATTTGGCAGAAACTCCTCCTCCCATCCATTCATCCATCCATCCATTCATCCATCCATTCATCCACCGCCGCTCTCTGTCCATCAGGAGCGCACCTGGTTTTCGAACTTCAGCCGATCAAACCAAAGACCCTCTCTGGATCGCAGTCATGGCTTTCATGGTGAAACACGTGGTGGGGGGGCAGCTGAAGAACCTGACAGGCGGACTGACGGAGGAGAAACCCGAAGGGGAGAAATCAGATGCCGCCGCGCAGGGGATGACTCAAGAGGAATTCGAGCAGTATCAGCAACAGTTAGAGGAGGAAAAGTAAGGCGATGATTTACTTCTTTGTTCACAGTACGGTTGCATGTAAATGTATAAAAAAATAAAAAAACTTATTGGATGTTTAAACTGAGTGTATTTTACGTGTGAAAGGCATAGAGCGCACGGCGCGCAGAGCGCATCTTTACGCATCAGTGGAACAACACGAGCGCTCCTCGCGCAGCTGCTCCTCTCGCCCAGGGGATAACTTCATGTCTCTGATTTGACCCCCCCCCCCCCCCCCCAAAAAAAAAACGACTTTTCCGTTTAAAACGTGAGATTCCCGCAAATATTCGTCCTCTGAAATGTTTAGGAGGGGAGTCATTCGTGTAGAATAAATTAAATAAATGAAAAAGAGCAACCAACCATCACTAATGTTCAGTAAATCAGAGCGGACTTTCATCATCCATGTGTGAGATATTATTCAAGATGGTTGGGATTAAGTCTCCGAAATATCCCCCCCCCCCCACACACACACACACTCACCAAATATGTCACACATATGAATAAAATATGTACAAATGAATCGTGTTGCAACTCTCTTTTCTGTTTTTTCTATTTAAATAAACCCCCCAGAGCACACTTAAGGTCACAGAGCACAACAAGGTCGTTTGTCAGAGTTGCAAMCCGTAGCTCACTATTGATTATTGGTTCTTCCCTCCACCTTCCAACATGATCATTGGGTTTAAATAATTGTTGCCACAAATAACTAGAAAATGCAACAATCATGACTCAGGTCAGAAAACTCCAAGAAGCCAGCTCGTTTCTCACAAAGAGGAAATTATTCCTTTTTGTGACAGCCCCCCTGGCTCTCTGCCATCATCAACTAACACCTTCTGATGAGCACTTTTCTCCCAAACTGTCTCTCGGTTACCATGTGCAGACATTCTCAGAGCGAGTGGGAGGTGAAGTCATTAACACTCGGCTCAGCCTGAGCTCCACAGAAGGCAGACGGACTCGACCTTCACTGGGAGAGGGAAGAGTTATGGGTCATAGGGGCTACATCACTGAGGGGTCTGCTCCGTTCAGATTAGAGCAGATTAAGACTCTTGGTGAGGGGGAGTGCTTCCACACATGTCATAGAGATGATTTATCACCCCCAGCATGCAGGCCACACTCGGTGTCAGACCCTCGTCAACTGATGCCCATGAGAGGAGCGTGGATACAGAGCTGCTCATTGGTTGCAACAGAGCGGTGCACCGAGGGGGGCCTTCTTGGTGTTTGTTAATCCAAAGTGAACTCCAGATCACAGGGGAGGAACCATCTCCTCACAAGATGACCTTCCTCTGGCACATCAGGGCGTGCACCGCTCTGTGTTTCAGTAACGCTGCTTATTTGATCCAGTGGTTCAAGTTTCAGCTTCTTCCTGTTCTCATCTGTTCTGACAAAAATAATCTATAGATCTTTTTTTGTCTTGTTATAAAAAAAGAACCCTTCATTATTTTACTGACTGCTACCACAACGCTGACCTCCCATTTGACCTCAGGTTATTCAAACAGGTTTGATTGCTGTCGGCCTGTGATGTCTGGCATCAATCAATCAAAGCTTTCTGTCATCTGAATAGGAGAAAACACTACAGCCTGCCCTCTGCWGGAGGCATCACACAATTTGTGTCATTACACATTACATTACTAATTGCCAAAACAATCCTAAACAAATTACATTTTTTTAAAAAACTAAATAAAAAACATCATATTGCAGAAGTTCCATACCTTAAGTGAGATTATATGTTGATAGTGACAACCAGGAAGTTTGAGCTCTGTGATCCTGTAATGCCATTAACTCTGCTGTAGCTTGTGAAATCTCAATATTTTTTAATAATCTTCAAAAATTAGGAGGATAAAGAATTAACTGCTAAAAAGAAACAAAAGTATTATTGCACTTGCAATAGATCTTCTGAAGGATGGTGGCCTGTTTACAGTAGTTCTGATGTGACTCTTACTGAAATATTTAAAAATATTGTGCAAAAAATGGCAGCATCCTAAAGTTATAAAAACAATGCCCTGCAGACTAAAGGAGTGAATAAGTTCAAACAGAACTTCAGCTTTAATGAGTAAAGGAGTGTAAAGAAAAAAAAAACGGATCAAGATTTGATGAAACTCAAACCTCTTCTGTTGAGCACAGAAGTAGAGTGATCATTATTGGAGCTTGTGGTGCAGTGAGTGTCAATGGGGACTATGTGTGCAAAAAAATCCGAACACAGCAAGTTCAGAAATTTGTTTTGGGAAAAATAGCTAAAGTTGAAAAGAAAACTGATTCAAAACAAATAACTAACGTTCAGCTGAGGTCTTGGCCTTCAAAATCTGCACCATAAATCCAGTGTTTGGACCAGAAAAGACGCCGACAGCAATCGAGCATAAGCAAAAGAGGAGAGATAAAGGTGAAAATCACCGAATCATTATTTTATTAGCCTTTTTATTTAACCAGGCAAATCACATTGAGAACTATTTTGCAAGGGAGGCCTGGGTCAGAATGGTTTTGGTCTGTAAGGGAAACCAAACCCACACCTGTAAGGAGAGAACATGCAAACGACACACAGAAAGACACMAGGTCTGACTGAATCCAGGACCTTCTTGCTGTGAGACAACAGTGCTAAGAACTGAGCCGTCGTGATGCCAAAAAGTATTCAACAATTATAATTTAATAATTAATTTAAAATGTATTATGTTACTAAGACAAAATACTGATGAAATCAAAATACACTAAAAAAACAGATGTAGTGGATTTAATTTAAAAAATATGTCAACTGGTTACACCACTCTGTCACAGCCGCCTCTTGTTACTTTAACAAAGTAAGGGGTGGCTGTGACAAAGTGGTTAGGGGAGTCGTCCCGTAACAGGTAGGTTTCTGGTTCGATCCCCCGTTCCAGCTGTCCCAGTTGTTGTGTCCTTGGGCAAGACGCTTCACCCGCCTTGTCTACTGATAGTGATCAGAGGGTCCAGTGGCACCCGGTGCATGGCAGCCCTGCCTCTGTCAGTGTGCCCCAGGGCAGCTGTGGCTACAATGTAGCTTACCACCATCAGCGTGTGAATGTAAAATGCTTTGGGGTCTGAAGAGACTTGATAAAGTGCTATATGTTCAGTCCATTTACCATACCATTTATTTACTTAAAGTCAGTGTGTTATCTTGCCTTAATTCAGTTGAAAATGTTGACACATTTTTTAAACAAATCTAAATATCAGTTTTTTGTGTAATAAGCTTATATATATAT